GGGAAAGCTCAATTCATCTCCATGCAATACTCTCCCCCTCTATTATATATATATATATATTGTTTTACTTCCCGGGCTATGTTCGACTGGGAATATATTTTTGGGAATTTTATACATTCTTTTGGTTTTTTTTCTTAAATACCGATCGATCACCAAAACCCTCCAAAACCAGAATCGGCTGGTTCCGATCTAACCAGACGGTTAGCAAGCTCGCTCGGTTTTTTCAACAATGGTAAAAACATGTTGAGTTCCACAAAGAAAAGAGTAAAAAAATAAGAATAATAATGGAGATGGGTTTCACAAATGAGGAGATCATGTTCCCAACATTGAAATAGAAACATGGCTTATGAGGAGCAGCCATCATCATTTAAGCAACAATAGTGAAGCTATAGTGAAGAAGAAACTAAAAAAGTTTGTTGTTCCGGGACTGAGCTAACATACATTTTTCTCGCAGCGTGAGTCAGACAACTCATGGAAAGCACGAGAAGGCTTATAAACAAGTTTTCACTTCACTAACACGCGAACCAAAGTGAGCCCAGCCCTCACTTCAATTGCTAGGACACTTAGAAGCTGATTTTCAACCCGAAGAAGATGCGAAGAAGATATCCTTGAAGAAACAATGAAACTTTTGAGTTTAATGGGAAGACACTATCTGTAGAACGTTTTAGAGATTATTGCAGTACTTACTTGCCGTCTAATTCTAATTTAGGGATTATTGCAGTACTTACTTGCATGCAGTTTGCTTCTAAAATTCGAATTAGTAGTCTTAACTACATTGTTTGGTTTCACTGACTGTTCATCTAAGACCAGGATATAAAGCTTACCAATTTGATGTACAATAACTTCCATGCAATTGTCAATGGATGAGATTTTTCACTGCCTGAAATCATAACATAACATCGTCAGGAAGCATCAAACACTTGTTTGCATAATAGATCATGGGAATCTGTATGCATTATAAATAACTTTGGATAAAAAGAAAATTACAGAAAAGACGGTAGAAAACATAACATCGAAAAAGTAACTTTAAATGCCCCTCATTTTTTTTGAAAAACAAAAGCCTTAAACGTTACTTTCTTAAATCAAAAACTCAAAACTAAACAATTTTATTTATTTAATCCAACCCAATCAGTATTAAAAATGGAATTACCTTGTTGTTGGTCGCCCCCCGATATCTCAATTTCAACTGTTTTTTCTTTAGGGTAGATATGTTTAACCGTCTTATTTTTTTCCTATGCGAAGCAACATGGGACCTTATCAACATCCAAACACACAATATGCATATGAAGAATCACATACAAAAATTGAAGACTTATGGGTACCAACAACATGAAGGTCTTGTTTAATGCATTACTTAAAATTTGATATCTGTAAATCTAGGGCCAGTTTAGATGGAACTGTAAGATGCTAACTAGGTGAACTTAGATGTCTTAATCCTTATATCCTGTTATCAGCTTAAAACCAAATAAAATTGTCCTCAACTGAATGAGTTTAAGTCTGCATTCGGAGGTACATGTAACTCTAAATTTGCTCTCATTGTTTGGAACCCACCAAATCAAAGAGATTGTAAAATGCATTTTAACGACTTATATTTTATGCATATTAAATATTTTGATTGATTTTATCGAGCTATTAAATATTAAGCCCAAGTTTGGAAGCATAGCAACAAAATTTTCAATATTTCAAGACTTGAGCTTTATATATGGTAAAGAGGAATGACAAAATATCGATGTAATCAATAAAAATAATTTAGATATATGAAAATGAGGATATACAATGAGACCATATACAATGAGATCATACAAAAAGTGAACAGAAAGTCGAAATAAGATAACAACGGGGTGTTTTATTATATCAGGATTCTATACCATGAGACCATTTAGTCAAAATTACTTACAACCATTCGGGGTGAATCTAATAGCTTGGGTGTGTCACAAAGTTCGAGAAATTTTTTTTTGAAGTTTGGATATGGTCATTCCAATAAATGCAACTATCTAATTTTACATCCAATGGTCAAAATTAATTATGACCTCTTTGTAACAAAGATAAATGATCCCATTATATATTTTTCCTTATCATTAATTATGCTCAAAGTCTGACAAAACAAAAAAGATAAAAAAAAATCTTGAACTTCGTATGGGCATCAACACAAAAAGTTCCACATTTGATGCCTCAGTAATTTTTCACTTTTTTATATCAAAGATAAATGGTCCCTCAAAAGTACTAAAGCAAATTTTTTTAATATAAATTAAAAGGGAATAATCACATTGAAGCTGTTATAACGACTAGTTAGTGAGGAAATAGGATAAAAAAAAATAGCATCTTAATATTAAAGAAAGGCTGCGTAATTTATGAAGGGCAAGATAAAAGTATATAATAATTCAGAATCCATTTGTTTTTTTAAGTATTCATCTAGAGATTCTAAGTTGGATCTCAAAATTTCAAATGGAAGAAATCCTCATGAGTAGCCCTTTTACCCGAGGGCGTTGGTGCACAATGTATTCCTATGCTAAACCACACTCTTTTCAAGATAACTTCAAAAAAGAAAAGATAATGTACAAATAGACATTCACTTTTGTTACAAGGATGTTACAATTACTAACGCTCATTAGATACTAAATTGGATGGTTGAGGTGAGTAGCAAAATCCAACAAATATATTTTGAAACTTTGAGTCTATTTCATGACACTCATACAACCATACATTTTCAAATTTACATGACAAGATTGATTGTCACATCCTTATACAAAAAAGTAAATGACACAATTTTTATGCGGCCAGCCCACATAGTATAGAAATATGGGCATGGCAATAAATATATTTTTTAAATATGATTTGATCCTAATTTTTAAAAAATATATAATCTTTAACGTGGAGATCATGAATAGAAAAAAGAATTTTTTAAAAAAGACTAGAGATAATATATATATATATTGGGTAAATCAGTGGAGGAAAAAGTCCCCTATCGGATTTTTCATTAATAGAAAAATAATAATCTTTTTTTGAAAACATTTGGATTCTTAGTTACCTTTACTTTTAGATAGACCACCCATTTGCATCCATCTTTAAGATGGACGTTTTACTCGTGTGGACTGTAGAAATGCAGTGCAACCCGCATAAAACTATTTTTCAAAAGTAAATGTCTCTTTATATACTTTTCTAAAATAAAAATTTCAACATTTTAAATATAATTTATTTAGGGATATTTGTGAACCGTATGTTGATGAGAACTTTTCCTTGCTACAACGCAAAATCATGAGTCTGAATATGTGTTTGGCAATGGGTACCATTGAAGGGAGCCGCATTTGAACTTTCAAAACGAAATCACACGAAACAGATGTGGTGGGCTACCCTTTATCATCATCTACTTCAACCTCTTCCCATAAAAACATAAGGGTGCGGTTTGTGTAAATCAGAGGCACTAATCAAAGTAAGGCACATCTTCAAATAGTATTAAAAAATATGGTTTTAATACTAGAAATCTTTGTGATAGACTTAAAATATATTTTCATCTCTAATTGTGAAATTTTAAATTTCAAAAATAGTGTAAATCGAGCATATCTATGAAAACTAAAAAATTGACAATTAAAAAATGCATTGCAAGATACACTATTTTCAAAACTTAAATCCATTTTATTTTGATTTCCATGCATCTTGAGGGTGAGATGATCAATTTGAGGATATTTGAGCATCAAAACAACATCTTATAATAAATTTTTGAGGTGTGCCCTAATTTGATTGTTTAGAGCCTCGCACTTATATAAACTTTTTCCAAAACAAAATTGAAAAAGTTAATATAAATGTGAGTAAGTATTTAAACAATCAAATTAAGCCGCACCTCAAAAATTTCACTACAAGAAGTTGTTTTGATGCCCAAACATAATCAAATTGATCATCTCGACCTCAAGATGTATACATGAGAAAAAATAGATTTGAAATCTTCAAAATAGTACATCTTGTATTGCACTTTTTAGACTGTCATTTCAAAATTTTCAGTGCTAAGAGATGTTGCTCGATATATGCAATTTTTAAAGTTTCAAATTTTAAAATTTGAAATAAAAATAAGAAAAAGTTTATATAAGGTTGCAACCTTAAAATGTAGAACTACATATGCACCTAAAAAATCCATCGGAAAAGGTTATTTTAATGTTGAAAAACTTTGTGATTGATCATCTCAACATCGAGATGTATGACTATGAAAAACAAAAATATTTTGAGTATCATAAATAATGCATCTTACAACATATTATCTACGCCGTCCATTTTCAAGATTTTCATGTATTTATAGATCTACTTGATTTTAATCATTTTTGAAATTTAAAATTTTATAATTACACATAAAAATAGATTTTGAAATAATCTTAAGAACACTTTACATCAAAATTATATATTATGATAAAATTTGAAAGTGCACCTTAGTTAAATTATTTAAACTTGCAACCTTTTGAAAACCGCACCCATAAAAATAAGGTTTTAAGCCATCACAAAGTTTTCTTGTACTAAAACTAACCTCATTCAATGTTACTTGAAGGTGCGCCTTACTTTTATTGTTTAGATCCTCCGCCTTATACAAACCGCACTCAAAGACAAAAGAAATTACGGCCCAGTTATACGCACGCTCTGATGCGTATTAATGATGATGAAGTTCGATTAGCTTTGATTTGCGGGGCTTTATCCATTCATGGCACATTGGTCGATATCTATTCTCTGAATCTGCCTTGGAAGAACCACAAAGCCGAATCTCTCTCTCTCTCTCTCTCTCTCTCTCTCTCTCTAATGGAATCTGAATCACCCACTTCCATTGTCTCACTATTTTAAGGAATAGAGCGACGCCCACTCCCATTTTCTAAGTGATTCCAGATACAGAATCACCCACTTCCATTTCGGTCAATAATTCTAGAGAGAGGTTTCTTGCTAATTCAAGAGAGAGAGAGGTTTCTTAGTAATTCAAGAGAGAGAAATATGAAGGCTTATGTGGTTGGTAGAATGCAGATTTTCCATCCTCTGAAGAGGATTTTACAGAGGAACTTTTGTGCACTCCCGGAGGGAATGGCTTCCTCTTCTGAAGAACTGATGAAATATGAATACGAGTACAGTGCACACAAGTAAGTATTGCATCAAGCTCTGGGGTATGGGTTTTCTATCTGGAATTTTATTTGATGCATATGTTTATCTTTTGGGATCATTTATTTTCAAAATGAGTATATATTTGATATGATCATGTAGGCTTAACTTTGAAAGGATTATCTTTTTTTTCTAATAAGCCATTGGCATCAATTGAAAGGATAAAAACAATCTTTATTTTGTTGATGCAAGTTGTATCTCAAATTACTTTCTAGTTTCTGATTTTACTGTCGTTTGTTTTTTCATTACTAGTTGTTTTAGGTTTTTAGAATTTTGCCATGGATTTGGTTTTTTGGTACTCTAGAGAGAGATGACATCTTGTTTAAGCCTTTGGCCTTTGAGAGATATCATCATCTATTTATGTAAAAACTTTGAAGACCATTCTTCTATTAGTGGTTGGGCTTAAATAGTTATTGCAACAAGTACCAAAACAGTACACAGTACCAACTGAACTTTTATTTCTTTGAATATATAGGAATTTTTTGCCTTTTTTTTGTTTGTTTTCAATTTTTTTCTTTGTTCTGATGAATCAACATGTAGGTATATGTGATTGGGTTCGCATTTACAAATCAATGGTTTGGAACTCCCTGCTAAAATGTGCCTTTTTAAGTCTGAAACTCTGAATCATCCCTCTTCCCTCTGTTTCGACAAATTTCATCCTTATCTTTGTCAAGGAGAAAACCCACTTCTTTTCTGTTCTTCCTAGTTTTAGAATCTATTTTCCATGAAGCCCAGTTCTTCTGTCACTCTCACCATGAGAAATGCCCGTAGCATTTTTTTAACACATGGAGATATGAAATTTGATCTTTTGGAATTGGTGCTTAAAATTATTTCTCTGTTTGGAACTATAAGAATCATTATCCTTAGAAACTTATCAGTTCTCCACTTATATTTGTTAAGTCACTAATTACTTTTATTTATTATTCATCTATTCTTGTTTTTGAAATCTGAATGTGACAAATTTTTTTTTTACTTTTATTTATTTTTTCACGTGGAATAAAAAGGTCTGCTTTTTGCAAGCTGTAAGAATTTATATGTTCTCCCACTGTTTTATCCAGTTATGCAGGTTAGCTAAATGATCATCGCTATTATGTCACTCCCCTGGTCTTCTCCTTGAATCGATATTTGCTTATTTCGTTCATTATTTAAAAAGGAAGTCTTTTTTTGGGGAATTTAGAGTTGCAATTTATCCTTTTCCTTGACTTGATTTCTTCTGTGGGTTGAATGCAGTTACCATCCTATCCCTATGGTGTTTTCACAAGCTAAGGGAGCTTGTATTTGGGATCCTGAAGGAAACAAATATCTTGATTTCCTTTCTGCTTATTCAGCAGTCAATCAGGTAAGGACTACATTATCAGATTTTTTTTTTTAAGATCTAGACTGCCATATTTTACGAGGGAAGTATAATATAACTAAATGTATTATGATGAAACTATGGTTGATTCGGACACACTGTCTTTCGAAATGATGGTGATGGAGGGAGAGTGGGGACCCACCATAACAGTTCATGCCCTGCTGGTGGGCCCTGCTCCCTCCCATCACTGTCCACTATTGGTTGGATGGTGACAAGCCAATGAACTGTGTTTGTCCCATAGTTTATTGGAAAGTAGCATACTCTTTCAGTCAACTGTGTTTTTTCTATCCTTCTAATTTCCATAAAAAAATATGGGGTTTATTTTTTGAGATATGAGCATAGATTCTGCATCTTCATGGCTATTCCATGTCTTCTATTTGACAGGGTCATTGCCATCCAAAGGTTACAAATGCATTGGTTGAACAGGCTCAAAGGCTCACTTTGAGCTCCCGAGCCTTCTATAATGATAAGTTTCCTATATTTGCGGAGCGGTTGACAACCATGTTTGGGTATGAAATGATGCTTCCAATGAATACAGGTGCTGAAGGTGTCGAAACAGCCCTAAAATTGGTGAGGAAATGGGGCTATGAGAAGAAAAAGATACAACCAAATGAGGTGAATTATGATTCACACATGAAGATTCTTTTAATAACATTGTTATGTGCATACCTACAAATGAAACACATTTGGGCGAATTTCTGTTCTTAAGTTTTGTACTGAGACATTCTTAATATACGTTTTGACCTAAAGCATAGGATTCTCCTGTGGTGGAATTATCATAAGACACCATTGAGCTCTATTATATTTTGCTTAGTGAATTTCAAAAAAGAGTTGTTCTTATGGAAGTCTTCTAGTTTCAATGTTTTCTTGGCCACATCTTCATAATAGACACAGAAAACTTGGCCACCATTTCAAAATAGACAGAAAACTTGCATCATGATGAGGAACTTGATCTTTGCAAATTTACACAACTACGTAATTGCACAGTTATCTACCCCCAAAAACTAAATGTATAATACTTCAGAGATCTAAATCGCGTAGCACAAGATAATGTGCATGAAATACTTGCTTTTTTCCTATCAACATTTATTTGTTATGGCATGGATTTGCCCAAGGTTAAAGGATTAGTTTTGGTGCAGGCTATCATTGTTTCTTGTTGTGGCTGTTTCCATGGGCGCACCTTGGCTGTGATCTCTATGAGCTGTGATAATGAAGCAACTCGTGGATTTGGACCTTTGTTACCTGGCCACCTTAAGGTTGACTATGGTGATGCACATGCACTTGAAAACATCTTTGAAGGTTTGTGTTCACTTATATATCCTTGTGATGTCACTGACTATATTTCAAATGCATATCTTGATTCTTAGTTGATCATGAGAATGCATTTCACTCTTTTTATCACTTTCCCCAATGCTTATTACTCCATTATTTGAAATTACAGCTCATGGAGATCGAATCGCTGGATTCTTGTTTGAACCCATTCAAGGAGAGGCAGGAGTAAGTACTGATTAGTCATATGCTTATGTGTATCTGTTTTCTTCAGTTGCATCTACAAATGTACAGTTCTGTGAATATTCCGTTTACGGATTTTCAGCAAATTGGGTTCTTCTAATCTCAGAAATTATTCTCGACATAGATGTATTTTATTTATACATGTATAAAGGGTGGTATGATAAATTTTCCTCAATTGTTGTACTTGGACCTGCATGGGGGACAGTCTAATATGTCTTTTGGTTCTCTTTGCTTCTACCATATTGTAAATGTATATTTGTCAGTAGTTCCATGCACTTGGAGTATATGATTCCACTATCATTTTCCATTTTTGAGCACCTTAATGTGGTGTGAGAGCCATATAGTCGTAGGTTTTCTTTTATCTATGCTCTCTCTCTATCTATGATCATTAAATGTTTGAAGTGGTATGCTTTAGCCTGTTTTAGCTTTTTAATCTTGAGTAGTTAATTAGTAGAATGATAACCTTCTGACAGAAGTTAGTGCCTGGTAATAATAAGTAGTTAATAACCAATACATGCATGTTCTACTTCAATTCCTTTACTTTATCGACAACTATGTCCAGGTTATTGTTCCCCCTGATGGCTACTTGAAACAAGTCAGAGAGCTCTGTTCCAACTACAACATTCTGATGATTGCAGATGAAATACAAACTGGTATAGCACGCACAGGAAAAATGCTGGCTTGTGACTGGGAAGACGTCCGCCCTGATGTCGTGGTGAGGATTTCTCGTTTTTCTTACTGAATTATCATACTTCATCTGAAGTGAGAGACCTCAGAATTTATCTTGTTTGATTTTATAAAACTTCGAGTGGAGCTATCTAATAAGGCTTCATTTTTTCTCTTGACTGAATTCTTGAACCATCTAAGGCTGCTCTTATGTTCTTTTAACAAATATCATGCTACATCTGGAGTAAGAATCATTAAATTTCATCTTGTTTATTTGTATATAAATTTGAGTGGAACTAATCTAATAAGGCTCCCTTTTTTCTCTGACTGCAATCTTGAACTTTCTCGTATAGGAGACACCTATAGTTTATTGCTTTTTCTTTATGTAAATTTGAGTTGTAACCATCTAAGGCTGCTCTTTTGTTTCTCTCGCTGAATTCATGAACTGTATTTAGAGTCTAGGCCAAGAAACCTAAAAGGTCATTTTGATTTGCTTTATCTAGATTCAAGTGTCATATCTGATGAAGATCTCTCTTTTTTTTTTACCCTTATCTTACCCCTTCATCTAGGGTGATAGGAAATGGTTTATCGAATTTAGCCTTATGTAAATCCAAGCATAGCCCTTTAATATGTCTCTTTTTTCTCTCCGAGTTCTTGAACTTCAACTGCACTGAGAGCTTAATATTACTTTCGTTCTACTAGACTTTCATGTATTCAAGTGTGATGATCTAATGAGCTTCTCATATATCTCTGATTAAACACTCAAACCACAGTACATCTAGAGTAAATGAACTTAAAAGTCTTCTCGTTAGGCTTTATGCAAATTTGACTGGGACCCATGTAATCCAGATACTAGGAAAAGCTTTGGGTGCTGGTGTAATACCTGTGAGTGCAGTGCTCTCTGACAAGGAAATCATGCTCTGCATCAAACCAGGAGAACATGGAAGGTTAATGTCCCTGCTCTCTTTTCTGATATCTAGCTTTACGGAGTTTACTTTGTACTGTTTCTTTTCTCTTGTTAATCTTATGTTTGGCTTGGGGTTTGATTTTTTGATATTGATTATCAGCACATTTGGTGGGAATCCTTTGGCAAGTGCAGTGGGAATTGCTGCACTGGATGTTGTAAAAAACGAAAGGCTTGCTGAGAGGTACTATTTTCTATAATTTTCAGTGCCGTAAAGTAGTACTTCCTTTTTTCATACAATGCCGAATTGAGAAAAGAAGCCTCTAATTTATCTGAAGGGAACAACAATATTGCTCCAGTGACTATTCTTCATTTGAGGAAAATCTCCTAACTTCTGAGAATCTTAAAAATCTTGAATAATGAAAGCATACTTTTCTCCTATTGTTCAAAGTTTGTCATTGTTTATTCAGGGCTATTAGGATGGGGGAAGAATTCAGGAAGCAGCTCTTTGAAGTCCAAAAGCAATTCCCACAAATAATTAAAGAGGTTAGAGGAAGAGGATTGCTCAATGCTGTGGAGCTGAATAAGGAGGAGTTATCTCCTGTTTCTGCTTATGATATCTGTCTCAAAATGAAGGAAAGAGGGATTTTGGCGAAACCCACTCATGACACCATAATCAGACTGGCGCCTCCACTGACTATAAGGTTTGCCGCTACCTCTTGTGTCAATATGGAGAGAGAGAGAGAGAGAGAGAGAGAGAGATCATTCTTCAGATAGGTCAACAAACTTGTTTCTCTTGCTTGCATCATTCTTGCCAACTTGTTTCTCTTGCTTGCACCATACTTGCAAGCAAAGTTTTCTCCTGTCCAGTTAATCTTAGTCCATAACCCAGTCATTAATTGACGTAATTAGCATGGTCTAAATTTAAAATCCACATTTGAAGAAAGAAACCCATGCACAAGGTTTGATGGACTTGCCATCAACTGTAAAAATCTAAAGAAAAGACCCATGTGCGAGCCTCAAATCAGTTGTCATGGTGATACAAACTTCTACTATCTTTATTCTTTATAGCAAGAGTACTACTGACTCGAGGCTTCCTTTTATGCCAATAACTGGAATAAGGTGCACCCATTGTCCCATTTCAATGAAACTTATACCACTATTTATAAATTAGTGTGGAACCACTATTTATGAACTAGTGTGGACTCTAGAGGAACCTCATGATAAAATTTGGTGATTTGTCCAGTTTGGAGGAGCTAAATGAAGCATCGATGGTGTTACAAAATGTGCTAGAGATGGATTTACCAGTGATGAGGAAACAAATGCCAAATGCTCACAAACCAACTCCTCATGAACCTTGCGACAGGTGCTGGCGTCATACATACAAAGTCCCGGATACAGAATCCTAATTTTTGGTTTTGGATATACAAAGTAAAGGACAACAGGTAATCCAAGGTGTTATATATATAGCAATCGGAGTGAACCTTGTACCACTATACACGTATATGAGAGAGAGAGAGAGAGAGAGAGAGAGAGAGAGCAGTCACCTGCTCAAGTTGGTCACAGATGGGTGCTTGTTATGACTGAACTGTAAGATTAACCTGGGGGAAAGAAGTTTGGAATTGTTGTTGCCGTGAGAATAATATCATAACATAAAAGGGGATGTGCACCATTATGTGCACTCTCGCAGATTTTGCATTTCAATTGTGCATCTCTCGGTTTCCTTCAAACAGAGCAACTGTTCACAACAGTTATAACAAAAAAGTCAGTTCACATATTGAGACTGGCTTCTGAATGAACACTCGAAAACTGTGCTTTTGCTTGAGCAAATTGTACACTAGCTCCCTCAGGCAAAAGACCAGGGTTTTCTTTATTAAGAATTCTGATATCCACCTTAGAATTTCCAGATGAGTGTTTAGAGAAGAAAGGGGGCTGCCCCGTTTTATCAACATGCATAAATGAACACAGGTAGATAAATACATAGCATGCATATATGCCTACTAGTATTACCTCGCACACATACCCATATGCATATGTAGGCACACGAGTTATTTGATACATGTGTCAAAAACACCAGACTTAAATTGTCACACCATTTAATGAACAAGGAGATAGTTAGGTGAAATTAAGTATTTTTACAGTAAGATTTCAAGATGTGAGGTAAAAAAAAGAAGTTATTTTTCTTAAATATCCGACATAATCATTTATCCATGATGCTTCAACATGTGTTCATAGAACACATCTAGTTTATAAAGGTTTCACTGTATTCAAACAAATCTCTCCACAAATGTGCCCTTCCTCATCAATCAAATAGATTTAAAAGGGACTCACTTTAGCTAGCCATTGATTGATCTCACTCCCCTAAGCAGGGCTTCTGGCCAGACATTTCCCTAACCAAAATGATCATTGCCAATATTTTTAAAGAACAATAGCATGCCAAAGCAGTACTAGTTCTAACAAGAAAGAAATTATATTTTGTGTCATACTCTAGCAGCTTCACATGTGCATGATATATCTCTAGGGTCTGTTTGGACACCCACATAAGTAGTCGACAATGCACACAGTCCTTTAGGAGGCGTTTGCTTGTGACACCCTTTGTGATAGGAAAGTGGTGCAAGCATGCTTAAAAATGAGACTAGCCTCGATAAGGGTAAAATTTTGAAAATCCATTTTACCCTCATCGAATGTGTGTATGCATTCGGAGAAGTTTATATTCGCAAACTTCCCAGCTCGAGAGTATATCACCATGTGCAAATCTCCCCAAAGTAGAAGTAACATTGCCTAATTGTATCCCAAGTTCACAATTAGAAAAATGTTATTTTTGTAACAATTAGTCTTTTTTGTCAGTCAGATGATATGTGGTTTGTAATCTTTTTGCAATACATACATTAGGATCAGTGTTTTAAACAACATAGATTAGGTTCGGGACTTGCTCGAGTCAAGTAAGCTCGGATTGGCTCCTGTAGACTGTCCCAAGGCATCTAAGACGATGGGAGTCATGCGGTCCTTAGAGAAAAGATGGGATCAAAAAGAGAGGAATCAATCAAATGATGAAAAGGGCAAAAAGCAGCCAATTCTGGTCCTGTAAGAAATCTGGATCTTCCCTTACCAATCCCATGTTGGATTGGGTGATTTTGATCAGGCCAGGAGGTTTTTCAAACGCTAGTTGGGTAGTCTTTTTTAGTGAATTCAATATTTTGGGGGTCCCTACTTCCAAATCGTTTGAAATCTGCAGCATCTCATCTGGGGGTTAGCATGGAGGCAGTGGCTTCCACAGAATAACATCTAACGGACATCGTTTTGGAAGTTACTGAAACAACTTCCAAAACAATGTCGTATTTCCCATATAAGAAATACGGACGCTATGACTTTCACGAAACGAACATGCCCTATAGTTTCGATAGCAGCAGCTTAGTTAATTTTTTTCTCAAAGTCCACGCATTATTATTATTTTTAATTCTAATTTGTAAATTAAAAAGCTATATGCAATGAAGGGTGCAGTTTGTATAAGGTGTCAACCTTAAACAATCAAATTATTTCACATCTCTAAATCCTATTACAACATGTAATTGTGATATCAGGAACTCCTATGAGGACCTAAAAATATATTTCTACTTATAATTATGAAATTTAAAGCTCCAAATGTAGATCGAAAAGATCTACAAGCACTTAAATACTTTGAAATTGGCGATCTAGATAATAAGTTACAAGATGCACTATTTTTAAGACTCAAAAACCTTTTGTTTTCATCTCAACACACCTCGAGATGGGGTTTCCAACATTAAAACAACTCTTTTAAATGGATATTTGGAGGGCACCTTACTTCTATAGTATAAAGTTAACACCTTATACGAAATTTATCGGTATGCAGTTTATCACCAAGGGCAAATGGGGCAACTTGGATAAAATGTCTAATTAGACTGTTCATTAGTGGCTATTTTTTCAAACAGATATTTTTTTTTCAATATGTTCTATTTGAAAAAGATGCTTTTACCCGTCATTATTGGTCTGTCGAAACAGGGCCAAACCCAAGATATTTGATGCCAAATGCACCTTTGTTAGGCTACATGCATATAGCGAAGAGTGAGAGGGCAATGTTTTAAAAATCAGACCGATGGGTCGGGTCAACGCTCGAAAATAGAGAAAAGAGAAAATATAGAAAAATGACAAGAAATTATAAAATCATATATTCGAAGCCAAATATTTGATTTCATATATCTGAAAATCAAAATCAAATCAAATAATTAAACTAAAAACTTTTAATAATTGAATGGCAAAAAATGGCTGAAAAATAAAAAATCTCATTTGATTCAAAAGATTTTGTCAAAGCTTTGTAGATAAATGTATTAGGAACATTTGGGACAAGTTCGAATAAATTTGATGGAAAATGAGGGAAAATTTTGTTTTCCAATTTTGGGTTTAGAAAACCGCAAAATTTGGAATCCTAATTTCTTATCTTTTACCTTTCAGTACAACAAATTGTTATCAATGTCTGTTAAAGGGCTCCAATACCAACATTTCTGAACTAAAATGATTTGGTTGAGAAATGAGAAAGAGTGTGCAAGAAAGGTGTATCAGATTTTAAAGCTATAAAATGATGAGATTTTTATAATAATAAAAAAAAAAAACATCACCTAAATGCAGATGTCGATTAAAAAAAAAAAGGTTTGGGGCAAAGAGGGATTGATTGTGTCTAAATCGGTCAAAAAGGAGGTAAGATATGTTTAGCGGTTAAGAAATTGAAAATTAAATACTTTTTTTTCATGTTCTTCTCATCATACCATATGCGAAGCCGACTCACTCAGACTCGGGCAGTGGTACCGCTATGGGGCTAGTGAACTCCATGAATTCCAAGTCAAGCCAGTGATTTTCTTTATCACTTAATAGGAATGGCAATGCACCCGGATCCGGCTTGAGACCTAACCTAGGTATGGGTCCAAAAATTGGACCCGAATACTATTCAAGTCCGGATTCATGCGCAACCGTCCCAATCTGAATAAAGTTATTAATATTTAATTAAATACAATCTTATATTTTTAATTATTAATGTTTAATTAAATACAACCTTATATTTTTAATTATAATATTTAATTATATATATAATAAAATATTTAGTTTTATTTTTTATTTTTTATTCAAATTCGGGTCGTATCATAATTTTTTTCGTATCTAACCTTGAACCCACCTGCACCCCCGACCTGACCCCACTAATTTTCACACAGGGTGAGAAAAAGAGGGGAGATTTGATGACATGGGTCTCTCTAGAGATCGCTCAAAATGCTAGATTTGAGATCAAGAGAGAGATCGCTCAAAATGCTAGATTTGAGATCAAGAGAGAGATCGCTCAAAATGCTAGATTTGAGATCAAGAGAGAGAAAAGTATAGAGATATTACTACTTAATGCTACATTTCAGACGACATTTAAAGTGGGTGCCACCAAATCCCACACATTGTCTGGAGAGCGAGAGAGACTGGTTAAGAGGCAAACACCTAAAGTGAAGTGGGTGCCACAAAAGATTCTTTCTCTACTCGAAATGACACTCCTCTTTCTCTCTCTAGATTAGTGGACTACCAATTGCCAACCCATGCCTTCTCACAAAGGAGCTTTCATGCGTCACCACTTTCTTTTTCTTCTTCACGCATCCATTTCGATAAACCACATCTTTTCAAGAACAATAACCCATCTTTCTCTCTCTACTCCATGTTTCCCTTCTCAACCAGAGATGTCCATTTCTCTCCTCTCTCTGTAGAGACCATATCTTTTTTCTTTTTTTTTCTTATTTATTTCTTTATTTATTATGAACTCTCTTTATTCCATTTCTTTTTGTCAAAAAAAAAAAACAACTCCCTCTCTCTCTCTTCCACAGCTGCTTTAATCTCTCTCTACTCCATATTTGCCTTATGTCCTCGAGTCCAAGCTTTTTTTCTTATTAACTCTCTGTACACCCTATCTTTCTCGAGGGAAAAGCCCCCCTCTCTCTAGTCTCTATCTCTTTTTTTTTAAGTAGTAATTAATTTTAGATGCGTGTTCTTTTTAGAGGTGCCAGTTTGTATAAGTTGTCATCTTCAAATCAAGATATCTACATCTTGCTGAAAGATACCGATCGGGTGTGGAAATCCCTTACAATGGTTTAAAAATCTATTTTCACCCCTAATTCAAATAAGGTGTCGGGAACCCTTTTAATAATCTAAAAATCTATTTAGGCCCCTAATTTTGAAATCGAAAAAATGATGTAGATCTGATATGTAAATACTAATTATTTTTTGAAATAGATAGGTTAGATAATATCAAGAGTCTCAGATTTCTCTGATGAGGCTCCTTGTGTCCACCAATTGAGTCGAAACACGACTCGGCATAGAGACAGATCAGAGAGTCGAAACACAACTCCACGGATAGACAGATCAAAAAGTGGAAATACAACTCGGTAGAGATCGCACATCGTAAAAGGCGAAACACTACTTGACAAAAGTTGCATCGACTAGGTGAGCAACAGATTCACCTTGAAAATCGGCGACAATACTTTAGAGACAAGAAATGGATACAGTTAAGATGAATTTAGCTTTGATATCATGTGAACAGTTTCATATTTCTATGAAGAAACTCCTTGTGTCCATTAATTGATATAAATATACAGACTTGTCTTTTATAGACAAATTACGGATGACACTAACTAAATCATAGACATCTAAACTATACACAGACTTACCATAAAATACAAGACACAATATCCTACTCTTTCCATATTTATTGATTACAATATACATCTTATATATATGTTACAAATAACAATATCCTACTCTTCCCATATTTTTATTAATTCCACTATCCACATACTTTCTTTTTAAAGATAATATGTTACAAATAGCATTATTTTTAGATTTTTTTTTGTATTTATTCATAGATGTCAAAATGATCAATCGAAAGGTCTTTCCTTGTGCCGATCGTCCACCCCGAATCTCGGTCTAGATCGGCGATCCAAATAGTTCTCGAATCATCTTGATTGGTGATCCAAAAAAATAAAAAATAAATAAGATAAAATGAAAATTACAATAGAGGTTCATAGAGTAGGGATACATGGGCCACATGAAACATTGTATAAGTTTAAAGAAAGACGAAAAAAAAAAAATGATAATGAGGGTTTTAGGGGAGCACATTCTGGAACCGATTGGATCTCGGCTAGATTCCGCTCATTGAATCAATGACCTAGAACAGAAATCACATAGTTTCAAAACACTGTTTTGAACTATTTAATATTTTACTCGTGTTTTTTATTTATTTGTTTTCAAATTGTCTACCATGATTTTCGTTCGATTTTCAAATAGCACATCAAAATAAAACTTGGAGGTTATTATGAAAATACACCTAGAACCAAAATTAAACAGTTTTCAATTCTTAGTTGCATTCGGTAAATTTCTCGAAAAATAAATGCAAGGGAGTCTCTTGACAATTTCATATAAGTCAGGGTTATGTTTAATTTGTTGACATTTCCAGAAGAGTCGAGGGCGTTTCGGGAATAAGAAGACAAAGTGGCACCGCGTTCGTCTTTTCTCGTCACGGGATGCTTCGTCATTTCCATAAAACGCAAGGCTATTTTCATCATTTTTTGGCTCTTTTCCTCCTCTCTGTCCAATCATCTTTTGAAACCCCTCCCTTTGCGATCTCCTTCTCTCTCTAAACTACCCAGGAAAAAACCTGCAGGAGAGAGAAAGTGCCAAAGGAAAAGCCCTGATTCACGAAACCCTAGATCTGCAAAACCCTAGATCTGTACAAACTACAAGCCCTAGATCTACAGAGACCCTCGCATTAATGGGGGCTTAGGGTTTCAGGCTCTCTCTCTTGCCTGTGTTCCTGGTCCCTGCCCTAATGGCCAAACCCTAGATCTGCAGAGACGTTGGACGTTACCCACTGTTATGGCGGAATAGGGTTTGAGTCGCCCGCTCTTACACTTGCTCTATCTCTGCTGAGGGTCATACGTAGCCATGGCTCTCGTGCCTGATCTCGCCGGAGAAATCTGGCTGGAAGAAGTTGCAGAGGTGACCGGAAAAGCGTCTCATTTGTGTGATATATTCCCGAAACACGCCGGAAAGAGCTTGCCGGAAAAAATTTCAGTGGTTACAGGTAAGCCATCGCCGTCTTCTCAGTTGGATCACTTTGATAGGCTACCTGATTCTCTTCTTTTACTGGTCTTCAACAAGATCGGGGATGTTAAAGCTCTAGGTCGATGCTGTGTTGTCTCAAAGAGGTTCCATGCCCTAATTCCTCAGGTAGATAACGTTGTTGTTAAGGTAGATTGCGTCATCTCTAATGAAGAAACAGGGATATCAGGAAAGGGGAAAGGGGTTTTCAGCAGTTTTTTAAAGTTTTTTGTGTGCAGTTTCTCAAAGCCATTACAGGTTCTGCAACACCTTTTAGGCCCAAGAAAAACTGGTTTAACCGAGGTATCTCACCATTCTCCCAATGAGGTTTTGAAAAACTTCAATGAGATCCAAAGCCTCAGAATTGTTCTTCCTGGTGGTGAATTGGGGATTGAAGAGGGGGTTTTGTTGAAATGGAAGGCAGATTTTGGCACAACATTGGAGAGTTGTGTGATTTTAGGGGCCTCTTCTGTTACAAACCAAGAGAAAACTACGGTGTCTTTTGAAGAAGATGGCTTCGTTTCCGAGAATAACCCTGGGGCTATTGAAGATGGGGCCAATTTCCCTGACCCTTTCTACACAAATGGGGGGTTGAAATTGAGAGTAGTTTGGACCATAAGCTCCTTAATTGCTGCATCAGCTAGGCATTATCTTCTTCAGCAGATTATTTCAGATCACCCAACTTTGGAAAATCTGGTTTTAACTGATTCTGATGGTCAAGGCGTTTTGTCGATGAATAAAGAGCAGTTACACGAGCTTAGGGTCAAACCTTTATCACCTTGTGCTTCATCAAGCAGAACCCAAGTTCCAGCTCTTAATATGAAACTCTGGTATGCACCTTATATGGAGTTACCTGGTGGTATGGTATTGAAAGGTGCAACTCTTGTGGCCATTAGGCCCAGTGAGCAACCAATTCGAAAGGTTCCTGATGGTTGGGTTTCTTTGGCTTTTGAAGAGCCTTTTAGAACAGCTGCAAGTTTGCTTGTTAAGCGCCGGACTTATTGTCTAGAGATGAATTCCTTTTAAGTTCTAACCATGGGAATTCGAAGGATTGGGTGCAGATAATGCAAAATTTGAAGTGGGTTTCCTGGAAAGATCTGTGACTTTTCTTCTTCTTAAGTGATCAGAGGAAGCTGGAGAGCAGCGAAAAAATGCTTGGGTCTGAGAGGTTGTATAGAGGAGATAAAGTATGAAACTTTTTGCTGTTCTTATTTTGATTTACGAGTCTTCTTATATATAAATGTTATGGGTATTTGATGGAATGATCTATGGAAGGGGCGAGTTGTACAGAGAAGATGTTTGCTTATCCATGATGGGGCTCCTTCGCTGCAACTAGAAAGATGGTCTTGGGTGAAGGTTACTTTGGCCCATAAAATATGTGAACTTGTTAGAAGGAAATTCTTATGAAATAAACAAGTTCAAGATCAATGGGTTTGTTTCTTTTCTTCTATAGTGGATCTATGACTGGTTAAGTTATGGTGATTCCCTGTATTTCATTTTATAGTCTTCATAATGGGGAACTTTTGGACCGAAATGAGCGATCTTTTTTAACATAGCTTTGGTGCTTTAATGGCGGGCATTTACAGGAAGGAGAATATGGTCATTTGGAATCTTGGTCTGGTCTCCCATTGTGTAAGTTGCTTTATATTCACTGTTGATCAGGGAGCCATGGCTTAGCTGTATGGAACCTATTTCCATCTGTAATGTCCTTTTCCAAAGCCTAAGGAATGTTGTGGTGTGAGACGCCTATCAAACAAGAAAAGCTGATGTAGACTGTGGAATCAACCCAAGTGAGTGCTTTATTTGCATCAACCCTGCCAGTCAATTTTATAGTGTCTGTAAACTCTTTGGAATCTTAGATATCAGGAACCTTTCATTGTTTAGATGTTGTACAATTGTTGCTTCTAATGCTTGCCGGGGCTAAGTACTCCTTTAAACCCACCAAATCAGTGTCATACTCTGAATCAATGTGCCATCTCTACTTCATTTAGGAATAGTGTTAATGAAATTGCTTAGATACTATGGCTGTAATTCTGAAATGTTTCCAGGACTATGTACCTGTATAAATCATAGGGAAGAAGTTTTATTGAAAACATCTTGATTGCCATCCATAGTAGAAATATGGTATAGTCGTGTGTGGCCATGCACAGTTGCTCTCTCTCTCTCTCTCTCTCTCTCTCTCTCTCTCTCTCACACACACACACACACACACACACACATACACATATGAGAGTTTGCAACCTTAATGTTGCTTTTCATCCATCACTCACCTCGTCTCTTTTGCTCTTTAAGGTCCATTTGATAGTTTGAAATATGTGAATGGAGCTTAATGTTTTTCTCTCCCTTCTCTATACTGGCCTTGTTTTTCCACTCAATGTCATGGATAATAAACTTGAATATTTGGAGTTCCCTATCTTTAAAGCCATTGACTGGTGATTATAAAAAAAATGGAGACATTGGTCAGAATTGCTCGGTTTGGATCTCCATTTGGATCAGGTTAGTTGGGTGGGGAAGTTGGGTTGTGGCGCCTGGAATTGCCCAATTCTCACCCTTTTTAACTTTTTTATCATTATTTTCTCCAATTTCCCCATTTGGCTTATGCCCTTTTCGGCAGGTCCGATTCGGTTTTACCTGAGGGCCAATTCAAAACTTGATTCTATATTTTAAAACACCGCCCTCCCATTTTCTCGTCTGTTCCTAACTGTTTTCCGTTTGTAAAAATAATATTACAAAATTTGGAACTTCTTTTTGTTATTGATTCTTATGTGATAACTGATAATAGCGCTGAAAAGAAAGAGGTCAAGGTGGAGAGAGAGAGAGTGGGGGGTCTCATAAATGGGTCTTTGGGTCTTTGCTGATGACCAACTCAGTGTAATTGCTTTTGTTTCAATCACTGAAAAATATCAGGATTGATGTGGCTTCTTGAGGGCCATAATGCTTTAATGTGGAAAGCATAACCTGTTCCTACAGCACGCACAGGTATCAAGTATTCAAGTCTCTCTTACCTCTTCCTAAATTTTGGAAAGATACATAAAACAGTGGGTGTAGGTATTGACTCTCTCCCCTCTTACTAAATGTATCATGCTAGATGTTGGAAACATGCAACTCTTTCTCTTTCACCTCTTAACTAAATGTTGGAAACATGCATGAATATGGTCCCTCTCTTTTGTATGGCCTTAATGTGGGAAGACAACCCAACTTTTTAACAGGCAAAGCCATTAATTCTTCACACAGAGGTCCATGTGAAGTATCAAAACATCACTTAATGCTCTTTGAATTTCATGGAAGCCCATCACCTGATGATAACTGATTGCTTCCTCCTTGTTAAAAGTATAGCTAAATTTGAAGGCCACTATTGAGAAATCAAAACCAAATTAGGATAACTTCCCTTTGTAAAATAGCTTTGTGCGTAAATGCCTGGCCTTAATAGAAATGCAATGACTTCACGATTCACATAGGTGGAAGGAAGGCCAATGGCCCATCTATGTCCATGTTGGTTTTTGTTTTTACATTGGTAAAATTAGGGCCAGGGAAGGAGTTGTCTCTCTCTCTCTCTCGGTGTAGTTGAACCTCTACCTTTTCGGTTATAAGGAAAGGTCCTTCATACCAAACCCTTGTGAACCTTCCCAAACACTTTGAACTGTTGGGGTTGGAGCCCCAAATCTCCCACATTGACCAACCCTATTTACTTATCTACCCACTTTTTCATCGGGCCAAGTCTGTGTTTTCACGTGATAAGCTGCAGGGCTTTTGCCCACACCTGGCCAGCCACAAGGGAATTAGGAGCGTCACTGACTCAAATGGGAATAGACTCACGATTATAAGAAACAATTCAAACCCCTGACAAAGTTTTTTAAGCAACTTCTACCTTAAATTGAATTTTTCTAATAAATATCTCTCAAATAAAAAAATTCATATAATACCTATAGTGCTGGACTGCCTCTTTTTCGTGTCTAGATCACATGCTTTCTAGAAGCCCAAAGCATCGGGCCGCTCTCATTTTGTGCCAGACCGCACGTCCGAAGTACTGCCTCTATTTTGTGATGGACTGCTTGCTTTCTAGAAGCAAAGTGCCACCCCATTGTGTCAGATTGCATGCCCAAAGTGTTGAACTGTCTCTATTTTATGACGGAATGTACGCTTTCCAGAAACAAAGTGCCGGATTGCCCCAACGCTTTCCAAAAGCAAAGTGTCGGATTGCCCCATTTTGTGGGGGATCGCATGCTTTCCCGAGGGTATTTTGGTTTTCATTTTGCCTTTTTTATGACTTGAGGGTATTTGCTAGAAAAATTAAATTTAAGGTAAAAAGTAAAAAAAAAAAATTTGGTCGGGGTAAATTGGTCTATTTTTTTTGAGTTATCTGTAATTTTCCCTTATAAGAAAGTTGAACTATATGTCAAGTAAGTTTTCTCTAGCGCTCACACAAAGTGTAGCTCCAAGAGCACATTTATCCTTTGGATCTGTCCATCAATTTGTGGGTGGAAGTTGGTTAAGAAAAGTAGGTCAGACCCCAAATAGGGTGAATAGCTCAATCCAAAACCGTCTGGTAAACCGCAGGTCCCGATTATTGACAATGCTTCGTGACATGCATACCCCAGTATTTTATCACATTCTTCTTGAATAGCCGTCTAGCTTTCTCGGTGGTGTTCCCACAATGAAGGTGTCCACATTGACCCAAACCCTTCAGATTTGGGTAGGGAGGAGATGAAATCCATCGATGCGCTCTGCCATGGACTTTCTGGCATGGGGAGGTGTTCCAAGAGTCCTCCTGGTCGTTGTTGCTCTACCTTGTCTAGTTGGTACACAAGTCCTAACATAGGCCTCCACATTTTTTCTTGTGTTTAACCCCTCGGCCTCTATGCATAGGCTTGGCGTTTGAGTTAACAGCTTTAATCCATCCAGTCTCTTTGGCAAATTGTAACTTCAACCGGTTGACCAATTCAGCGGAGACAAAATTATGAATGGCACCCGTATCGTATAGACCATGGACTTTGTGGGCTTCCCATTGATCCTTGTCTCTACATACATGAGCTCTTTGCTTAGTGGTACGGGCTTCTCAGGCACACTCCTTTATTCGATTAAAGAGCTGTAACAAACCTATCTGAGACTCTGCATCATCTCCCTTGAGTGGGTGGGTTATCTAGTTTCACTGCAAGGGCAATGAGGACCTTTCTCTTGGCGCATTCCTTTCCCCGGAGTGCTCCATCACAAATGAAGCACTTTACAATATGGGGCTTGGCCGTGTCTTGTTTTCTTTGTCACTTTTGCCATCTTTCCAGCTTGGAGGCTTGTAAGAACCCTCTCTGTGGGTGGAGGCTCTCTCTAGATCTCCCCCACCTTTTCCTTAGCCACTCTTAAAGGGTTGTTGCTTAGATGGGCCGTTCCTCTTGAATTCCACTGGTTGCTTGCATAGCCATGGCCGATGCGAGGTCCTTCACCCATGTTGTTGCAACTCTTGCTCAGCCCATGGCTACAAGCCATCCATATAGTTGAAAAATATATGCTTCTCTGCCATGTCAAGAATCTCCAACATGAGGATCGAGAATTCCTTGACATAGTATCAAATTGACCCAGTGTGCCTCAGTCTTTTTAGGTTCTTGCAGTCCAAGTATGCCACATTCTCGGGATAGAATTGCTTCTTACTTTGCCTTCTGAAATCATCCCAAGTATCGATTGCACAGCTACCTCATTCAATGTCAGCATGCCTTTTTCGCCACCACAGGGTGGTCGTGTTTATGAGGTTCATAGTGGCTATGTACCTTGGCTCTCTCATCCCTCGTGTAGATGACATCAAAGTATCTTTCCATTTGCCACAAGAAGTTATCTAATTCTCGAGCATCTCTGGAGTCACCAAAGGTCTTAGGGTTGGGGGTTCGTACCTTAGGTGTATCTCGGACCACAAGGCCTCCGTTGCCCACAGTTTTTTTGTATGGAGTCAGGTCACCTCTCAGTTCCTGTAAGTGCTGCTACATTTTCATAAGGATGGCCATCATCTTGGCCTCTAAAGATTCTCCATCCTTCTGTTGGGTGTGTTCGTCATCTTATTCAGTGCAACCAATGTCTCATTCCTGAGTTCCTCACCCTCTATTTTGTAGCCAATTTCACGAAATTGGTCTTGTCATCAGCCACAATGAGATCTAATTGTGGAAGTAGTTTATCGAAGGCAGCCAAAGGGTCCCGGGACTTGCCCCAAGCCATGGTCCGGGACGAGCCTGGTCACCATCAGTCACCCTAGAAGCTATGGCGTCTCCCTCTTAGCCCACACGAACTGGGCTCCAATACCACTTGTCATGGCCCTAGTGAAGTTACGTCCCTAGTGAAGTTACGTGCGTTGGCCGTGTTGCACTGGCACCTCAATGCGTCGAGGACAAGTTAGTCTTCCCAACCATGAGCATAATTATGCACCAACTAAGTACAAAAGGATAGCTGCTGGACACACAAGTTGAATGGGAAGAGCACTTAGTATTCCACTAAACTAAAACTTAAATGCTTACAAGTTTTGAGGTGCTCTACAAATGAGGGGTCCTCACCTTGATATATAGGCACTGGCCTTACAACCAATGGTCAAGACTATGTACAAGTGTCAGGCATCCAACAGTTAGGAACATTCTAGCTATACATTATTCTAGGGAGCTCCTTGCTAGTTTTTTTTCTTAGATTGATTCTAAAATCCCTCTAGAGCTCACATGGACCACCTAGACTTTTCTAGAACCTTCCATGCCCAAGTGATAAAAAGAGGGACAACTGTACATTTTAGGAACACAGAGACTGAAAGTTAAATTTTTTCTTGGAGTCATTTGCCTGATTCTTGATATCACATCTCCAAAATTTGAGATAAAAAAAAAATCCCTAAAATAAGTTTTGCCCAATGGAGTAAAAAGATAGTATACTCCCACAGGAGTAGGAAATCTTTTCATATTGTGTAAAAGTCGTTTAAAACAACCCCTTATGCTTATATTTCCATTTCATTCTGGTCATCATGAACTTGGCCCCTAGAGTCTCTCTTTCATACGCATTAGAAAAAACGGAACCACATTATTAAAGGTAGATGATTCCCTTTATGAACTATAGCGTTATAATTTGTGGGAGCATAGAATGGAAAAAGAAGAAGAGAGAACAGAGATAACACAAGATTTACGTGATTCAGACCGAATCCTTACGTCTACAAATCCAAAGCCCAACCGGCTACATCTTCACTATTTTAGTTTAATCTGAAGTACCTCTATATATATAGAGGATAATCACACAATTAGAAAAGATAATTATGATATGATAACTTGATGACCAAGTAACTTGGTCTTTATCTTTTAGATACCTAACCTTATATATATATATATATATATAATGATGTATATCAATATGAACCAAAGATATCCATATCCCAATATATAGCCCATACAATTTGTAAGAACCGCTTTCTTAACAAATTGATTGATGTAAGGTCAACTTTGTTCGTAGAAGCAAGGTTCGAAGAATGTATATTGTTAATTTTATTTGAACCATGTCGATTTGATAATGTCTGATACGACATGTCACTTTTTTATACTATTTTTAATATTACATGAAATTTACACCGTCCAACTAAAATAAATAATGTCGAATATTAAAACCTTATTTTTATAAAGTTGTCTTGTATAAACTACACCCTCTAGGAAATGACCCAACAAACATAGGAGTATAGATGATAGTAGTTAGTATTACTTTGCTTAGTTGGAAATATGGAGAGAGATATTTATACCACGATGGGTTTTTGGTGTGCAACTATACATTTATACCGTTATATCTTGGTTTTGGACATAAAGGTTTCTAATATCGACAACTACAATCATGAATTTGAAAAAATAAACTTTGAGTCATAATTTATACTATTTTAGATCTTATTTTTACTATTTATTAATGTTTATTTTAAATTTGTTGAATCTAATCTTCACATTTTCCCTCTGTTGAGATAATCGACTGTAAATTTAGAAGACGGAGAGAGAGGGAGGAAGATCTTATTTGAACTCACTGTGAAATTATTAAAACTGTATTTGTAATGGAGAGAGAGAGAGAGAGAGAGAGAGAGTGTAGGTTTCATAATGAGATAGGGAGAGGAGAGGTGGAGAATTGGGGGGGATTTTGAAAGAACAGTTGCAGGACAACAGCAACAGTGTTGATTGTCACTTTGAAGAAAAGAAACTTCTCATTTAGAGAGAGAGATCCCCTTTAAGTTTCCCTGCACCCCATGTGCCAGCATTTAGAATTAGAGACAGAGAGGCAGCGAACCTCTCACATAAATGCACCTCACCACCATCTCTCTCTCTCCTCTCTCAACAATATAAGCACTCTCCAAATTTGTGTTAAAAATAAGCATTTACTATACCTATTGAAAGCAAGGTTGTCTGGTTAGAACTTAAAGCTCTCTCTCTCTACTCTTTATTGAAAGGTAAGGTGTTTGGTTAAAAGTAAGGACGCCCTCTACTCCTTGTTTTGACAGGTTTGTTGTATGGCTGGAAGTAGGAATCTGTCTCTCTTTAAAAAAAACACACTCTTACATTGCCCTTTGTGTCAATCATTTGGAGCTGGAGTTTTGTATTAAAGTGGGACATGCTAAAATCGTTAAAGGGGTTATTCTTTGGGAGATGTGGAATGAGAGAAATCGCACGACATTTAAGAGTAATTTTTTGTCAATGGAGAGGATTTGGAGTAATATTATACATACTTTGTGGTGTTGGTTTTCAAAAACAAAAGAGCGATGGGGAATTTCCGAGATTGATGTAGCGAATCTTGTAAAGATGAGTGTTTTGACAAAGGATGAAATGGGAGGCCCCCTCTTTTTAGTAGTTATAAGCTTAATTTTGATAAAAGTTCTATGGGTAACCCAGAGGTGGTGACGTGGGGGTTGTAAGAGATTGGAATGCAGAGATTTTGTAGTGTTATGCCGGTCTTTGTGGGCTTGCCACAGCAAACCTGAATTTGCTTCTTTGCTGCAAGGCCTAAAGCTATTTGAGGAAAGACTTTCGAGCCATTTATGTGTTGTAGAAGGTGATTATTTGAATGCCATCAAATGATATAATAGAGAACAACATCTCCTGTGGCTTCTAAGATCTTTTTGGTTGGAAGTGGCGCATTTGGTCCAATTATGTAAATGATTTGAATATTTGCCCCAAAAAAAAAAAAAATAGTCCCGTAAATAAGCATCCTCTCAAACAATTACAAGAAAAGCATCCTCTCTCTCTCATTCATATCCATGATTGCTTATTAGAATCATTCAACAGCAAGTTAAACCCATGTCAAAGAAACTTGCATATGAATTTATCCAACAGCGCTTATCTGTTTTGGGGAGCGAATGTAAAGTATTCTCCTATGGTACTTGGTCATATGAGATCAAATATAAACTGGAAAATTTATCCAAATATGATAGATGAACTATTTAATATTCTACCAATATAATTTGATTTAATTTCATGATACGATACAAAATTGAAGTAGTTGAAAATCGGTAGAATATTAAATAATTTCTCTTATGGGTAGTATGCAATTAATATATTTGATATAGTTTTCAAATATTCTTGCTCAAATGGTTTAAAATTTTAAATAGAAAAAGTTTATATAAATGCGAGGCTCTAAACAATCAAATTAAGGCGCACCTTAAAAATTCACTAGAAGAGGTTGTTTCGATGCTGAAAACCCTCAATTCGATCATCTCGACCTCAAGGTGTATAGACATGAGAAAAAATAGATTTCAAGTCTAGGAAATGATGTATTTGCAATGTATTATCTAGATCATCAATTTTCAAAATTTTCAAGTGTTCATAGATCTATTTGATATACACTATTTTTTAGTCTTTTAATTTTATAATAAGATTTGAAAATATATTTTCAAACCATCATAAAAATTTATGATACTAAAACAACATATTCCAGCATTACTTAAAGGCATGCCTTACTTTGATTATTTAAGGCCTCGACCTTATACAAACCACATCCTTTTTTAATAAGCCACCCATTCACTCAATTCCAGAATAATTAATATATTTCTAAAAAATACAAAAAAGAAAAACAAAAGGTCCACTCCCAAATAAACATATTTGTGTTACATCCCAAAATCTCGAGCCATTTAACCCTTCTAAATGCAAATAATTAATTTTTTTTGCAGTAGTAAATGGAGGAGAGAGAAACAAAATTCGTTCTTATATTCTCTCTCCTAAGTCGCCGTGCCCCTTTGCTTGGATGGTGGCTGAACGGTTTTGAGGACACACTGCATCACCACCCAATTTGTTGGAAATCAGCTACAAAAGTACAAGCAACAGTAACCTCCCTCTCTCACACACACAAACACATACACGCATTTTGTTGACCTCCCTCTCTCTCACACACACACAAACACATACACATATTTTGTTAGAAAGCAGCTACAAGTTTAAGCAACATTAGTCTCTCCTTATCTGCTACATGATCAGGCTGTATTAAGCTCAACATTAATCTCTCTG